GATAGATAGATAGATAGATAGATAGATAGATAGATAGATAGATAGATTGATTGATTCAGGATAATAGAAAAGCCCTAGTAAACAAAACAAAAAAGATTCAACAGTATGCATATATTGATTACATTGATGCATTAGTAGGATTGCTTCGAATAATTTTCAAGGAATGAGGGTTATAATCCTAGGAAATACTGAAATAACATTTATGATACTTAAGAATTATGGCCTGAAGCAACATACTGAGGGGATGGGTAGTTATATTTTGTTGGTTTGTGTGAGAGATGATGCCCACAGAAGGATGCTGGTGTGATGGACTACAATGAACCAGCAGTTTTTTCAGGAAGAAGATGATACATTCATCTAGTACAGTACAGCTTGGAGCTGGATAAGGGATGTTTCTAAATATGTGTAGTTTCCTTCCTTATTTCTGAGAATAGGAATAAATTAACAAAGTCAGTTTACACATAGCTTATAAATGCACCCTATTCTTCAACAAACTAAATAAGATAAAATAGGGAAACGAAAGTATAGAGCAGTGGTTCTTAATCTGGGCGATATTGCCCCCCAGGGGGCGATTTCATTTTTTAGGCGGGCGATGGAACCAAAAGGGGCAGTGCGGGGGCGAAGGAACAGAAGGGGGGCAATATGGAGTGATGGAGCGAGACGTTTTGGGGACACTTTTGAGACTTTTTTCGTACAGTAAACCGCTGTATATCTGTTGTACAAAAGCACCAGATCGTCCGCTATTAGTGGATTGAACTGTGTTTTAAAATGTTCCTTCAGCTGGCTTCACACATATGTGAATACGCATCACTCATCTTCATGTGGATTGCGCAGCAGCCTCTATCACTCTACCCATTAAATTTGTCGCTCTGATTTTTGTTGCTTTCTTTCTGTAAAAATTTTCTTTGTGTCTTTTTAACCCTTTTTACAGTGCGCATGAATATATATTTTCCTTGAATCTTAATTTAGTTTCAGAGTTTTCATCTTGAAAATCTTAGTTCCTGCATTGCGGTTTGTTCTTATACCCTTTTTATATTTCTTTTTGCATCTTAAAATTCACTTGTAATTAAATTATTAAATGTTACTGGGTTTTTGGGGCATTTCATTTTCTTGCAATTGAATTTTGTTTTCAGTGGTCATTGCATTTAAGTGTCGAATAAATAAGATAATAATGAAATACATGTATCACGAAGTTTGGGAGTAAAGTGATGGGTGGCATCAGAATTTTTCACACAGTTGAGATATGGGAAAAAGACTGGAAATAAATTATTTGCATCGATATGTCCTGATGACGATTTTAAAGAAAACAAAAAACGTGTTTGCATAAATTGAAGAATTATTTCCCTGTGTTGTGATTGAGAGGTTATGTTGGGGGAGGGGGGGCGATGATAACTTCCTCAATGGCTCAAGGGGGCGATTCTTTCAAAAAGGTTAAGAACCACTGGTATAGAGCATGTTTTCAGCATTGTTGACCCTTTGCAAGTCTATTCAGTGAATGCAAAAGCACAGTAGCCTTACCTGTCTGTGTCGGTAGAGCAGCAAACAGGCAACAATGTGTGTTGACATCACAGCACATGATTTGTTGGCAGCTAAAAGCAAAAACAAAACAGATTAAAGCTATACTGGCATTTTGGATTGCAACTGAAAGGCTCAGAAAGCAACAGTTATAAAATGTCAGTCTGGCTGAATTAAGTATTATTATTATACAGAAAGACTTTTTCCATTTTCATTAAGGCAGCACAAAAAACCATCTATTGATCAAAAATAAACTTTAAGTTTTAGTAATTGTGCTTCTTTTATATCATACAAATCTAGATACCGTAGACTTTATTTGAATGAGCTGAACTCTGAAATATTAGGTTAAATAGTTTAAGAAAAGTAAGATTACGCTATTCACACATTAACCTTTTATAAGTAGATATGACATGATACCTATATTGGTGCAATCCAGAAGGCATTACACCACTCTAGGAAAGGCAATCTATAATTTTATGTAATATTCTAAAATCCAGTAAATACAGTGACTGTAATAAAGAGACTTATTCAAAATGACATCTCAGATTAAAAACTGTGCAATTTTAAGACAAAAAAAGAATGATGCAGAATGAGGAAAGCCCTGTTATTTAGAAAGTTCGATGTGACAGAGAAAATGCAGAATGAACTCCACAACAAATACTTACTGAACATTACGTGCTCTGCCAAGTTAGCTATTAATTGTCTTCTCAGTGGTTCACAAGATAAATCCTTGGAATCAGGAAGGGCAGTTTCTGAACTTTCTCCCACTATGTAGTTAGGCCTGAAGATAAATAACAGAATGGATGTACTATATAAACTGTACTTATGAATTATGTCATCGTAAGACCTAAACATATTTAAGAGTTGCAGTTCCCAGTGCTAAAGACTATATTTGCGAGGGAGACAGCACTGAACTTGCAGATAAGAACAGATTTTGTCTTACAAGAACAGATTTTGGAAATTACTTTAGGGCAAGTCTATCCTTTACCAAAACATCAACCACACTTCCCTGATTAAATTATAGATCTAAGTCTGACAGAGTTTTCCTACAACTGCTTGCTTCATGGAATCACATTGTATTAAGAAAGAAACTGTCTGGATGCCCAAGGTAGTATCCATGTTGTATTGCAAAATAGTAAATCATGCTTTATCTTAAGATTTTAATATCCTGAAGAAATAATTACTTTGAAGTAATGATACATTTTACAACTTTCCTATCTTATAACAATTCTTCAAAATCTTTTTTTTCTTGATCATATGGAAAAAATACATAAAATTCCCCAAGTTTTAAGCTGTTAAGTAGCTGATACATAATTCCAGAAAATCAATTACTTAAGTTTTTCCCCAAAAAATTTCAATAGCCTAGCTCAAACTGTCAAATCTGATCAAACACCCAAAATTCAAGATATATTTACGCTATAATTGCTAAACGTACAGCTAGAATGCAAAGTATTAACTACTTGGACTGCACATTTTTGAAATGTACTAGTTAATTGTATGCATAATTAAGTATGATAATATTCAATTAAAAATGATGGATTTGTTATCTAAACAGATTTCTAACTTATTCAAAGGAAATTCACAGAAAACATTTTGATCATGAATCCTTAGATATGTGTTAAAGCTTGATGAACTGGACTTTGAAAAAGAACTTTGATTGTATATTTGATTGTTGCTTGTTCATCATTGATAGAAAATCCCCAGTTCCATCTTACCTTGAAGACAGTACAGCTGGTAACAGAGTATGCTCCAAAGAAAGAGGAACAGGCAAAGGTTTTTGATTTTGGCAATCTAAATATTCCTGTAAAAACATAACATTTATAACAACTATCTTACTGATTAGCAAAAGGATTTTCAGAGACTGGCATAGTAGCAAATACTGACTATTAGCCAATAATATAATATACTAAAAACATGTAATTTTTGAAGTGCCTTTATTACCTCTAGAATCTAAAGCAGGGGTGTCAAACTCCTGTCGTCACATGATGCATCCCAACTTTTTTCCCTTAGCTAAATAGGGTGTAGGTGTGGCCAGTGTGTGATGCATCCGGCCCATGGGCCGCGAGTTTGATATCCCTGATCTAAAATAAATGACAACCAAACTGAAAAGATAATAATGAATTTTTTAGATATTTCTAAGTGAAATTTCTTGCATCATTGCTTCAAAAAAAAAGAAGCTCTACTAGCTTTTTCCAACCTTGATCTCTCAGTCTTTGGTCAGTCAGATGTTGCTGTTTAATAATATTAATATATCATCAAAGAATGTAAGCTGTTCCAAGTATATTATTGTTGTTGTTTTTGTTGGTGGTTAAAATCAGCCAGATGTTTGCACTGAATTAGCTAATTTCATCCACTTATCAAGTCCTTCCCAAGGATCTGTGAATAGGCAGATATTGTTTGATAGTGTTAAAGATATCGTGAAGGATGTAAAGTGATCCAGATAAAGCTGCCTTTTGCAATTGACCAACAGTAAGTAAAATTGTCAATGCTGAAGGGGTTCAAGGTGCTCAAGTGATGCTCCATTTGCTCCAGTTATTATTGGTACTACTGTTGTTTTCTTTGATTAATAGCTTGAAGTCATAGCATCTCATATTCAGAACTTTGTTAATGTGTAAGAATCCATTTTCTAGCATGAGATTTCAGCTACAAAACTCTTTTGTTTGAGCAATACCATTGTGCATGAAGTAAAAACTTGAAATATTGTTTCTATTGAAATATGAATAGTTTAAAATATCTTTTTCACAGCTTCTCAATGGAATTTTAGTCTTAAAAGATAAGCTTACTTTTAAAGAAAATGGCTGAGCAAAATCTACTCTAACACATCCATAATTCTTTCGTAACATTCGAAAGACCCCTCGGGCTACACTCCATAGGCTTTCATTCTTCTTGGGCTTTCCCTGAAAGACATTGAAAAGAAAAAGAGAGGGGGAAAATCATATTACATTAATACATCAATTATGTCTGTTCTTATTCAAAAATAAAACTAAATCTAATTCATTGGTCCTCCAAATCATGTGAAGTTGTTATATTGTTGCTTTCACTAAATGAACATATAGTTTTAAACATTTTTCCCTGAATGATTTTTTTTCTGCATGATTTTATTTTGTGGCATATTAAGTACAGATGAAAATTAACCTGTCTTAAAACTATAGTTTATTAGCAGAATTGTCAATAGTAACTCTAAATTTATAAATACGTTAAGCATACAATAGCACCTCTTACCAGCTGCTCACCAGCATAGTGACCTTCAATTATTCTGTCATAGGAGATTCCCACAGGTATAATTAGTACGTCAGGAGCAGCATTTGAACACAGAGCATCCACCACCACTGATAAAAGACCTGCCCTTGCACAGGCTACTTTGCCACTCCTGGACCGTGTCCCCTCCAGAAATATCTCTAAGAATTGCTGCTGTCGAAGCAACTCTTCAACATGCTGAAAAGAGAATAGCAACAAGATCAGACACAAGTTCTTTGCATTGTTTCAAATATTCTTTGCATTGTTTATAAGGTGGGCAACTACCATGAGCACTGTTCAAATTTGGAACTTGAACTCTGAGCGGAACAAGATTTCTAATCATTTAAACAACAATATGCCCACATCTATACAATACAATTCTACTTTTCTTGGAATGACATAAAGTTGCATGGGATAATTATTACTGAAAGGTCACAAGTAACTTGGTGTCTACTAACAATAGTGCCCACAATTAAGAGCATATAGTTGCATAGATGTTAGAGATGCAGTTTCAACATTTAACTAAAGTATATAAATTTCTTCAGGTGACACATACCACTACTGACATGCATAGAACATTACAGTGATCCATGAAGTCATCACAGTTTCTAGAAATACATAAAAGTACAAGTTTTCCACTTTTCTTGGCAGAAGCCTTTCTACCATAGTGAATCTTTTGTATTATCTGGACTTAGCCCTGAAAGGAACTCTACCTCATTTACCATATAAAGTGAAATGATACTGATTTAAATTTTGAACTTTGCTACAAATTTAAATATGCATTGTGCACTGAAATGGTACACAGGTCTTATTATCAAATTTGCAGAAATAAACTGTTTTTTTTTTTAAATGTACTTACCACATGCAGTAACATTCTGTACAAAATATCTTTTCGGCCATCAGGTCTCTCATCTAATTTTCTTCTAATAAAAAAACCTCCAAGTTTGTGAATTAAGGTGCTAAGGATAGGAAATAAAATATGCATGCCTCTTTAATTAAAAGGGAAAGAAGGCAAATTTGACAAAGGTTATATCAGATTAAAAAATACAAATGCATATTATTTTCATAATATGAGAGGAAAAAAAACTAATAAATATTAGTTGAGCATGTGATTATAAACTCTTTAGATGCTTTCAAATTAATTGCTCCTAGCATTATGCATCAAAAAACATTTACAAGTGTTCACTTTTTTCTTGATATGTTTTTTCTTAATGTTTTTATTGAGGAAAATGTGGTTACATTATAAATATATGTTAAAACGTGTTTAAATGCAAGTGTTGATTCTTATAGTTCTGAAGAAACATTTCATTTAAAGATACATGTTAAGTATACAAAATATATCTTAAGTTTTTTTTAAAAAAAACTTTTCTTTTGAAGTATTACAGTTCTATTTAGCTAGGAATAGTCGATTATTTTTTAAAACGTGAGATAAATGAGAGAGAGTTCAATAGTTAAGAATTGGTAATTATAATATAAAACTTTATGCCGTACAAATATTTTTATATATTCAACTTCTATTTTATATATTCCTATATTAGAAGTCGACTATTCTGTCTATCATGGAAGAATTTACTAGTTCTTGAAGTACAGATACAATACATTTTTTCATTCTATTTAGTATGATTTGTAAAAATAAACTCTCATTCCTTCCTGACACAGGAATTTCATGTGCAGTAATGTGAATATGGACAATGTTAAAATTCTGGATTTTTTATATGTTAAAATGTTATCAGAATTTCAGAATAAGACCACTACAATTGAAATCTCAGTTCTATTTATTTACCAAATTAAGGTAAAAGTTGTTGACTATGTATAATATGTATATTCTTATAGTCAATGCATGCTACACATTTAGGTAGCTTCTTGATAATTCATCTTGGTCAGGTAAGGGAACAAAATTGGCTGACATTAACATAGTAAAAGAACTAATACTGTTTACCTGAAAATAGGAATATTCAGATTATTTCCGGCTGCAATGTAGGGTGCCTTGATATTGTGGCAGAAAAGAATGAATGTGAGAAGTAGGTAGTCAATGTGAGATTTGTGAACAGGTAAGAAGACAAGAGGCAAATTTAGCTGTATGAAGAAGAAAAAAAAGAGTTCAATATCAAAATATAATTTTAACATATCAATCTACTACACTTTCACTGTGTTTCTTTTTTTCTTTTGGTAATACTTGCATTGTCAATAGGAGAGAAAGGAAGATGGACTGAATGAAATAGAAAGGATATATATTTCACAGGCAATAGATTTTCAGCAATGTTTATAGCAATTAAATACAACTGCTTTATTTGTATCATACTATGTGTAATCTAAGGTGGACTTGAAACATATACTGTAGTTTGTATTTTGATTATATAGCAATGTAAACTTTGAACAATACTTCAATACTTTTAAAATTAAATAATCTGGAAATTAATGGCAAAAATATATTAAATAAAAAATAGATAACTACTTGATAGTAAACTATCACTTAAATAGTCCACAATTATGAAATTTCAAGTGGATGTTATTCCAAACATACATCATTCATTGACAATATACTACAATATATCTTGGCCAGTAATTCAGATTCAGCCCCAATAATAAATTCAACAATCTTCAGAAACCAAAATGATACTGGAAATTGAAAAAAGATTATAAAACCTAATTTTTGCATTTCTCCTTATAAACATTGAGGAAGACATAGAATGCATTAACACAATTTACTATACAAAAAATCTTCTGGCAGCAACATTTAAAGCATTATTTGTATTTATTAAATAAGCAATTAAGTGATTATGTACTGAAATTTAAGACTAACACTTCAAATCAGATTCTGCTGGATGTAAAAATTTTACTTTTTATACCCTTTTATCAAAGGTGACTTTTTCAGGAAAGAAAAGTAAAGATAATTTTTTTCTGAATATTTTACAGATTGAATCTGAAAATAACTAGATATTTAGTATAGTATAAAAATAAAAATGCTGCAGTACGATTGCATACATTGCCTTAATTATTTTTATTACCTCAGTTGCTGCTTTCACCATCTCTAGTTGGCCTTTATGAATCTGAATATTCCAAAAAAAGCTATTAAATAATTTCAATAAAACCCAACCTGTTAACCTGAAAGAAAAATATAAGATACTATGTAATCAGTTTTATACAAACAATTGATAGATACAAATATATTAGTCACTGTTCATGTTCAAAACAGAAACAATCACATCATTCATGATGAACCAAAAGAGTGTTAAATGAGTGTGAAAATTTTATTAAGATAGTTTAAACAATAGTTGATAGACTACTATCAGCTGTAAAAAATATAACATACAAATAAATTTTAATTCCACATAATTCTGAACAGAGTGTAATGTTGGGCTGATAAAATGACACTTATTGAGAACATATTCCCTTGTCCCATTGAAAAAATAGTTTTGATACATTAATATATGAAAGAATTCTTCAAGGGCAGAGAATGAGTTTTATTCATTTTGCAACAATGACAAAACAATATTAGATAAGAAATAACAAATATCTCTGTGGCTATAAGCAATATTGAGTATACACAGACCTCACAAACAAAACTTAGTATTATTACCTAATCAGAGAAGGAGAGACATTTGCTACCATTTCTTGAAGGATCCTTCTAGCTTTCTTCTTGATTCTGTTAATATTTCTAGATTCCAGCTGATCAGCACCATTTACAGCTAATTCTGAAGCCTCCTGTATAATAGCATTCTGCACTCTAAATGTTACAAATATAAAGTGAATTGAAGATTTATTGTAGATTTCAACTACTTCAGATCATATATCTTCAATACCCAAAACTCAGATATTAAAAATATCCCCATCATTATTCTAATTAACTATACACTGCGGTACTCTGTAATTGGAATATTCATGATTTTTTCACTTAAAAATACAGCTAGTCATCAAGTTACAACAGTTCATTTAGTGACTGTTCAAAGTTACAATGGCACCAAAAAAAAGTTATTACGTTTTTCAGAGTTACGACGTTTGCTGCATCCCCATGATCATGTGATCAAAATTCAGGTGCTTGCCAGTTGTTTCATATTTATGACCGTTGCTGTGTTCCAGGGTCGTGTGATCACCTTTTGCAACCTTTGGACAAGCAAAATCAATGGGGAAGCCAGATTCACTTAACAACTGGATTACTAACTTATCAACTACAGTGATTCACTTTAATAACTATGGCAAGAAAGGTCATAAAATGATGCAAAACTCACTTAACAAATGTTCCACTTAACAACAGAAATGTTGGGCTCAATTGTGGTTCATAAGCTGAAGACTTCCGGTATTATATAGATGACACTTCAAGGTTATAAGGTATAAAACTGCATATATTTACATATGCTGATATGTGAATCTACATAATCATACAATCTTTACAATTTGTAAGGGAGAATTATACAACCCAACTTCCTTTACAGCCTTAGGTGCAGAAACCAGACTTCTGTTTGTTATAACACAATTGCAATTTTTAATATTACTTAAGGCAAAATTAAACAATAATTTTATGACTAAAGAGTGATCATATTAACTATACTTTATTTTAATTAAATGTATGTGTAAATAAAATGAATTTTAGCCTTTATTCTGATTCCATTGAATTCTACCCATTTCTTTTTGAAATATAACCTGCACAATGTTAGACAAAAGTATGGCTGCATTCCCCAAAAGTTGCATGCTACTGAAGATGCCTCTAAGTAATTGATGGCCCACAGCTAGACACAAGGATATAATGAAGACTCTTTGTAAACAGGATTTAAGATGTTATAGCTTGTATACATACATAGGAAGAAATTCAAAATAATTGCTTTTAAAATCCAGAATTCCTGCTGTATAAGAAAAAAAAAACATTTTTGGGGACTTCCCATAAGTTGAACATTTATTATTTATAAATAAGAACTTTTCAATTACAATAATCACTATTATCTTCATCTTACCGGTTATTATTCAGTACATTTTCCATTACATTATTTGCAAACATGCTCTTTTGAACATCCCGCTCTTGCACGAAAAGAGTATAACAAAACCGCCGAGCAAGCCAACCTCTATACCTATAAATATTGTGGAGGAATTTAAAGAGACCCATTATTAGAAAGTTATACTTCAAATGACTACTAAAATATCATATCATATCATATTATATCATATCATTCCCACTAATAAAATTAGTAGAAGTCACTTTGAGTTGATCTGTTTAACAGTATCATAGCAGAAGTAACTGGGGGGGAAAACAGATAGAAATGCAGTACATGAGGCAAATTCTTGGCTGAAATATGTTCATCTTAAATCCTTGTTAATATTAATTACTTGTTAATTCAGCCTTGCACATAAATATAGGTAGAACATACTAAACGAAAAGTTTTGTTTATTTTAGTTCTTCTTTTCTTTCTTAACTGGGCCATCTTGCTCAGAACAAATCTGCAAGCAAAATGAAAATTAACCCAAGATTTTCACAGCCTAAGAAACCAAAATAAATAATAATAATACTTGAGTTTTTCTGCAACTCTAAATTCAAAACTATTTGGTACTATGTGCAGATAATAATAGAAACTGTTTAAGAGATCTATGGAACCGAATAAAATTGATTCATCCCTTCATCTTGATCTAACATGGTTTGGCTCATTCGTTCAAATACACATGATGTAAATTTAATAAAGCTAGCAAATCATTTTGGGTGAGCATTTGAAGGTGGAAGACACCAACGATGTCAACGATGAATTTATAGAGGAAATAACAATTCTGAGATTAAATGGGAAAGGAATGCCAATTTGCACCTTTATTTATCAGGCAACTTTAAGTGGCATATAAAGAATAAAGAAAAACAACATTATACAATGCAATAGTATAAAGTAGCAGATAAGTCAAGCCATGTCAGGAAAGAACAATACTAGAAAAACAAAAGTTAACAAGATCTCTTCTTTAGGTATACATGGCTTTCTATATCCATGTCTATGTCTGCTTCTAAGTTAAAAACATTGTTTAAAATTATTCTACTAAACTATGAGGTATTAAAGCACCAAAAGAAGTAATGAGAATAAATTAGTTGTTCTTTGGAGTTCCAATATTGCTGTTAATATTTTAAAATGACAAACGTATTTTGTAATACAGATTAACAGAAATGCGAAGGTTGCATTGCAACATCATTAAACTGTTAAAACTGTTGTGCAATCCATCACATGCCTGGTCAGAATTAAGTTGCACTAAACAAATTAAATTATAGTCTTTGAAAGTTATAATAATCAGGAGTCAATTTGTAAACAGATTTTGGGAGTTCAATACATGAAATGCAGCATGAAGCTTAGTTTCTTTGGCTAAGAAATATAGGAGCTTTGATGGAAAGACATTAAGATAGATTAGATAAAACATATGAACAATGTGTTCTTTTTTGTCTTAATTTACTATGTGCATATATTTACATAAGACAATTAATGGAGAATAGTATCTGTTCTTTTATGTGCTGCCAAAGGAATACAGGTAGTCCTAGATTTACATTAGTCACTTAGCAACTATTCAAAGTAAAAAGACCTCCCTGGGTGTACTTACAATATGGTCCTGAAGTTCCAACAATCACACCCCTTTGAGATCATGTGACCACATGTGGGATACTGGACATCCAGCTAATTCATGATTGTTACATCCCACTCATCATGTTTTATTAGTTTTTACTTCTGGATTTTGGCAAAACCAGCCACTACTTTAATGACTGTGGCAGTCACTTAATGACTCTTGCAAAAAAAAGGTTATAAAATTGTTTGGAGATGTGGGTTTCATTTTATGACCATCATGATTTACAATCATAATGGCAGGCTCCATTACAGTTATAAGTTGGGGACTATCTGTACATTAACTATCTTTTTTCAATCTGAAGTTTATAAGTATCTGATATTTAATATCTACTTTCAGCATGAATTATGTAAACAATTAAACTTGAAATTAGCTTTACAAATGTGCATCTGACAAGTAAATTCTTGTTCATTCAAATTCATGCCCAATGTAATAGACTTAAAGGTACCAAAGGATTTTCTATCCCTGACAAACTTGAAATTCTCCTTGCCCTTTTTAAATATAAAAGTTAAGGTAGATAGATGACAACACAAAATTTTGGCTTGTGCCAGAAAATATGTTACATAATATGTACATTTATTTTGATTCTCATGCATATGTTTTATTATGCGCAAATAAGGAACAACTAGAACAACTCCTTGAACAGGTGAAGGCACTTCTTTTATTGTCAAACACCTATTTACAAGAATCTCGCCAGATCAAGTATGGGAAATGGCAGATACGGTATTAAAGATTTGATCTCAGGTATTTCCTTCTCTAAATTAGCTCCATCCTTGGAATGTCTCTTTATTCCCCCTCTCCTTTACCACTGATTTCACCACAGTTTTACGAGAAAATATTATTATGTAGCTTCATTCTGCCCAATGAAACTAGTACCTGTTTTCATGAGCACTTATACAAATTGTTGCACTACCATATTGCAGAATTAGTTTTTTTTTAAAGTAATTTTTTTTAAAAGGTGCCCTCCAAGCTCAGCCAGTGTGCAGATTTCAATTTTTTGGTTGAAAGCTAGCCTCATTAAATTATTCATATTAACACTAGTTTTCTAAGAACAGAGTTGATGAATAATGAAGCCTTGAATAAAGTCCTTTGCACTGAAACCCAAAATGTCATTGCTCTTCAGGTTCAATTCAGCAAAACCAACGTTAATATTTAACCTTTGTACTCGTTTTCCAGATAACTACAACATCCTTTTTAATAAATCACAATATTAACTATACTGAAAAAAAGGTATTTACCGTGTATGTGTCTCATTAATATAGATGACATTTCGCAGACCCAAAGAAGGGATACTAGTATTAAAAAGCTTGTCCTGAAAGTGAAAAATATATCCATATGTTAATTTATTACTAATAGCAGTTCACAATAACTATTGAATTTTCCTGTATATTTCTTCTAAAGGGGAGAAACCTGTCCCCACTCCATATAAATCATCTATAGCTCAAAATTTGCCAAAGTTTAGACTTGCCAAAGTCTCACAAAAAAATCTCAGCTATCTGAAAAACATATGCCTTATTTGTTAAATTTGTACACCAGCAATTCTGGGCAGTCTATACAGAAAAATAACAATGAAGAAAAATCTAAGCATCGTCATTTTTCCTGAACAAATCACTGGGCCCTGTTTTATAGTATTTCATTAATACAGAAGCATCAAATATTATTCTACTTCCACCAGGCAAAATCTGAAACTAAGCTATACAAGTTAAGTACATAGCTACTTCTTAATTTAATTGCCTCCTGGCTATTTAATTACCATTACATGAAAATTACAGTTCAGTTTGTTACTAATATAATTCCATTCACCCAGCTTTGAGGTGTGCATACGTAACAACAGCGTCCCACAAATGGCCTATTCCTGCCCAGAAGAGTCTCTTTCCATTTTAAAGTGGCTGATCGGAAAACAGTAGGCCTAGAATTGCATTCTCCCTGGAAAATAATGACAGTAAAGAAAATATAAATATAGCACATAAAAACTGACAGTTCTGAATTTCTTTCAGGTTACTTTCTATAAATGAACTAGCTAAAGTTAAGAACAATTGATTTATTTGTTCTGCTTAAACAAATAACCAAATTCAGTTATTGAAAGTAATTAAACACATTCATGGACTCACAAATATACAGATATTTACCTAAAGTAATCTAGATCAATTATACTGTCAAAATATTTTCCTCCTTTAAATTATATGAAATCTGTATATTTGATACTGAATCATTCCAATATGACAGCCCCCCAGAAAGTACTTATGATCCAGTTCTGGAGTTCCACCAACTGTACTCACATGCACTCACGACTGTATTTTGGGTGCTTGGCAACCAGTTTGCATTTATGGCCATTTGCAGCATATTGTGATTATGTGATTGTGATGTTTGATGGGATTTTTTGGCAGAATTTATTTCTAGTAAAAATACCCATTGGATAAAATGGATGGTAAAATAGTAAAATAGATTCATTTAACAACCACATGTTTGTTTAATGACTACAACATTCATTTAATTAGCGCAGCGTTCACTTAATGGCCACTGAAAAAAGGGTCACAAAATCGGGTATGGCCTACTTAATGACTGCCATGACTTATGATCATAAATCTGGGGATAATTTCAGTCTTAAGTTGAGGATTACCTGTACATTTCTGGAACTGCTATAGGAATAAATCTGAAATAATATAATTCTGTACTATTTATTGTAATATGAATCTGAACTTTTTCTATAGATATCTTTTGAATGAAAGTGATGCTAGGTTACAGTACTGTATTATTTTTTATCAATTTTATTCTGCCCTATGAACTGTGTACAAAACTATCTAAATGTACTACAGATAGTCCTTGGGTTAAAATGGCAATTGAGACTGGGATTGCTGTTGCTAAGGGATACAGTCATAAAACACAATATCATGTGGCTGCATTGCTTAGCAATTGCAGTCCCAGCTATCCCAGCTGCATTGTAATCTCAAGATACAGGGGTCATTAAGGTGGAAGTGGCAGAAGTCCCAGGTAAGAAGCCTAGGGGTGCTCCGGGGAATTCCAGGGGAGTGAGGGAACCCTAGAAGGGCTGGCAAAGGCTGTAAGTTGGGAACCAAGGGATAATTTGTGAGGCCTAGCACAAGTTGTACACAAGCACAGAAAGTTGCAGGGCTGGATAGTGAAGGAACGTGCACATGCAGGAAAGCTGCAAGATAGATGGTACAGAAGGGTGAGAGCATAGGGAGCCTGAAGGAACTTACTGGACTATTAGAGAAACTTCTCTGTCGGCTTCCCCACTGACTTTGCTTGTGTAAGCCAATTGGGAAAATCAGAAATACTAGTTAAGTGACTGCAGGCTGATGCAACATCAAGTGAACTGTTTGTCAAGCAACTGTTTTCCAAGCACAATCATGTGACTACGGGTATGCTGAAGTGGTCAGAACTTAGAAGACCAATCACAAGTACCAGTTTTTCAGCACTGTGGCAATTTTGAATAATTGCTGAACAAGTGTTTGGTAAGCAAAGACTATCCGTACATAACATTCTTAATTTTTTAAAGTATAACTCTATGTTACTTTTTCACCTTTCAAAAGGACACTAGCATTTTATCTTAAGAAGCCAGAAGCACTGAACAAACATGCATTTTGCTTACCCATTCTTCACTGGAATGTTTACATCTTGTGACAGTGCATTCTGCTGAAGATGACAAATAGGAAACATCTATTGTTCCAAGTGACAATGCGGTATCATCCATGATCTACAATATAAATTCAGGCTCATGAGCTAAAAGAAGAAAATAATTTCAATATTAAAGAATTAAGTGTATTTGTAAATAACCAAATTCACTTATCCTAAATGTCGTTCTAAAGCTGAAATCCTTGGCACATCCATAGACTTTACTTCCAAATTAAGAAAGTGCATGGTACAACTACAATTGGCAATTAAAAAGATGCAACTATATAACTATATAGTCCAGCATATAACTATAACTTGCTCTTTCAGTTGTCCATTCAGGATACGGTAACTTATTACAGAAAAAAATATAATTATACTTCAAATTTATCTACAGGTTGCTCATAATTACCAGAATTGGTTTTGATCAGAGGAAATTAAATTTTTGTTCCATTGATACTCAGAAAGTAAATGCATGTTTAATTATTATAAGATATGAATGAAAGGAATTTAGACCAGTTTCTTTCTAATATACACTTCTTTGTTGCATAAGCTTCTAGGCAAATACAGTTGAAGTCAATCAGACTTCCGAAAGCTGGAACACAGACACTATGTTCTCAAATCAAGCAAGGATAAAATGTCTGGTTAGCTACTCAGTGTGTTTTGCACAGCCAATTTATTTCAGCACATTGTGTGAGTCTACAATCAGAAGGAATGTAGTAGCACCTTTTTTGACTACCAAATTTTTTGAAAGGCAAAAGTTTTCATGAGTAGCTCTCTTTATAAAATGCATAGAGTAGCAAGACTGATGTAAGACTTAAATTGGAATAAAGCATAGGAAGGGTGAGAAAGAAGAGAAGGCAGATTAGTTATACAGATGAGATGTGAAAGACTGCAAGTCCTTAATAAATTAACAACTGCAGTATGCTTAAAAATCATTGTAAATGTTAAGGTTTTTTTTTACATTGTATGAATGTAGGCAAATAAAGGTAGTTAAACATGGGTTAGTACACTATACAGTCAGTAAAACAAGTATAAGGAAAAATACGGGTTTTTTTTCTAACCATAAGCACTTTTTGTTAAAAACGAATGAGCTTCTCATCTATACTATGCATATATAAAAAAATACAAAGACATAAACAAATATATTTGTTCAGAGTGGGAAAGCTCAATAACATGCATTTTCCCAAGATACAGCCAGAAGTTTCTTCAGGGACTCAGGAAATTATAGGGAACAGTTTTCAGGAGAGAATAATTTTGTTCCTTGCCGTTCTAATTACACTGAATATACTATGATAGCTGAAAGCAACTGCAAAATACAAAAATACAAAATACAAGGATTTTAAAGCTTCAGGAATGAGAGATATTTTAAAAGAAGTGATGAATCCTGGCTGCTCTTCAAAGAGCTTTAAGCATAATCTCCTAAGAAAACTAATGTGATATTGTGACTAAGATGTTGGACTAAGAATGAAGAGATGCAGACTTGATATTCCATAGCTGGGGACTATGAGGAAGAAAGGCCTCTCCTTTTGTCTAATATAGAAACCTGTAATTCCCAAACTGTGATGCTGTTTTTTTTTTTAACAAATTTACAGGGGTACTATGAAATACTTAATATTTGAAAGTAAAATATTGTACAAAAACATAATGAGATATAAGTACTCCATTAACTGAGAAACTTTGAGAATCTTTGATACTGACTATGGAAAGCAGTAGATCATATTTATTGTAAATCAAAGCATTCAAACAGGTTTCTAGCAGAAGACATAGTCTTTCAGATGATCATGCTGTACAGTATGTACAGTTTTGAACACTTTTGACAACTAATGCAATATTTCAACAGTCACATTTACATCAATTAGTGCTTCAAAACATTTTCAAAAGTAGTCCCACATAAATTTAAATTGTCCAGAAAGGATGTGACCACAGTATGGACAACCACTGTCAAATTCAATTGGCTAAGGAGAATCATAGCTGGCATATAAACGTGTTCTTTCTCACCTGGGAATCTAGGGAATCTCACTGAGAATCAAAGAATTATCCCAGGCTGTACTTTTATGAGAAACTTCATCTAGAATAGGATGAATTCATGGTCTAGTTTCCAATTGAAAAACACCATATTTACTTTTTCTACAGCAAGTATTACCTTGTCACCTTTGGGACAAATCATAACTAACACCTACTAGAATCTCTGATGGTGATTTGACCAAGTCTAACTGCTATAGAATGTAAACTTGAATCTTAAATAAAATCTTATTTGGAACTGTTCCAGAAACTGGAGATAGGAAAATAGAAAAAGATACAGATATAGAAACAGAAATGGGAAAACTTAAAACCATGATATTACTGCAGTACTTACACTGGAATTCCTAAACATTTTTGTTATTGCTGGATTTTGTAACTGAATGCTTCGATTATTTGGAGCATTCAAGTATTCTGGCAATAAAATATCATGCAACTCAAGCATATTCAATTCTATGCTTTTTAGATATCAAGGATTAAAATTTCCAAACCACCAAGACAGCATGTTAATTGCTTATCTGATAACATACATACCTCAACTGCTGAAAGATAAAATAGAACAAAGTGTCCATAGAAGCAATAGCCTGTAAGACTGGATCTTTGGATAAACTTACCTGGGAGTAAATGTCACTGAATTAATTAGATTTATTTCCAATTATATGAAAACGAGGCTGGGCTGCAAATTGCTGAAGCTTCAATTTTTACAAAATACTAGAAGAAGAAAAAAGGCATCTCCTTCAGAACGTGCTTAGATAATTTATATGCAATAGCATGAACAAGCAGTGCTAGGAAAGTATATAGTCACTTTAAACTTTCTTCTATAAATAACAGATCAACTACTGTATTAAACACCAGTATCAAATGTTGGGTGTCCCTGTACAAGAGAAGGCTACTGCCAAAGAGATTTTGTTCAAACTAATCACCAAGGGAACATTAGCAATCTAAGCCAAATTGGCTGAATGACAGAAGAGACTTTCACACAGAGTTAGTTAAGTACATCAATGGAATGCAAGTGAAAGACTGAAAGAAAAGGGAGAAAATAAGCAGCCTATCTAAAAAAGGAAAATGGGTATTTATTAGGACCTGCTTTGAATTTAATGCAGATTCGTCAGCCAGATTGCTGTAGTTAAGAGAATGATAAAGTATTTCCATATACTAGCTTGCTTCACACAACACAACATATACAAATAACTGCACAATCACTTTTCACATGTAGGAACTTTCCACCATGCAGTGACTTCTTCTAATTGTCCATGGGCTCAGGGATAAATCTGAAAAATACTTTTTGTAGTACCATGCTGTTTCTCGATATTCCCATTCACCTCTTCACAATATGTTGCAAAAGAAAGGAGGGAGGGAACATGTTTATCAGTCAGATTAGTCTGCATTTCTTTCACGCTGTGTTCATTTCACTTGCTATCTCATTCAAGCATGGGCCTAGAGCCAAGTTCGGTATGCTATGCGCTCCTTTTTTCAAAAGCTAGTTCCTAAAATACCTCCCATTGTAATTAGTGCGTACAAGGGTTTGTCCCACGTTAATCTTACGGTTGTTTTATGGGTTGCTCAGCCAAGATTGCAGCAGCAAAAATACTGCTACTTACGGACGGTGACCGACTGCAACCTCTCTTTTTTTTTTTTTTTTTGCCTCAAAATAATTCCCGTCTAAACATTTTATAAACAGCCTAGTTCTCCTAGAGCCACCATCAACACAGTGGTCCCAATCCCAGCCGCCCCCCCTCCAATTACTTTCTTTTTTCCAGCGACGATACCAGCGGAGGATCAACTTCGGGAAAGGCTTTAAAGATGTCCTTTCGAAATATGTAGCCGAAATTTCTCCAAAAACTCCCGATGCGCCGGATCCTCTATCCCTTGACCTTCCGATCTCCGACCCTTTGGGGAAAACAGGCGGACGCGGCGCGGGCAGACGCTCGCCCTTCATCAACGCGGCTCCGACGCCAGCTGCAGCACAGCGAGACCTTGCTAGCAAACTAGCGGGCAGGCTGACTTTTTCACGCCGCCCCAACAAGGAGGGCAGATGCTGACGCGATTTCCTGAGCGCCAGGCGCCGGCGAGCAGGGAAGAGGCCGGGCTGCGCTCTAGTCAGCGAGCTGTGGAGCGCCTCTGCATGCTGTGAAAAGGTGCCCCGTGGCCACCTGGCTGGTGTCTTCTAGGTGTCTTGGGTTGCCATCAGGCCTGGCTGGTGAAATCAAGCGGTTGGGGAGATTGGGTGGTGAGCCCGACTTGAAGGGAAACTCGGAAATCATCACATTTTTCCGCTGTGCAGAGCAGTGGTCAATTTTAGGTGTAAAAGGAATTGGAAAAATTGCTTTATTCCAGGACAAAGGCAGTCTCCGATTATTCTACAAAGTTGTGTTAGAAGGGCACCATAGTGAGTGCTGAAGCAAAAAAAAAAGTGTATAGGTAGATTTTTTTAAAAATTGTGCCTAATGTGCCTAATGATAATATGTATTAAGATAGCTGCCGTTTAGCAGCTCTTGGTGGAAAGAGAAAGTCAGATAATAATCTGATCTTTCTCTGCCCTGCAACAAAACCTGAAAGGCTCAAATTGAAAAAGCTCATCAAACCAAGATTCCCTGGACAATCCCAGGCACCTCCAATAACAACTAATATGAACCAGGGTGTGGGAAGAGAGAGAGAAGCAAGAAAAGACAAGGGCTGCTTTGATGTCTCTTTGGACTTATCTTGCTACTTGTACTGTTAACTTATATAATTTCTCTGATTTGTGTACCGAGTTGTCTAGAAAAGGACAAAAAACTTTGCCCTGTCATAGGTGGAAGTTTGGTGCTCTTTTGCTGAAAATGCAATAAATACAAAGAGTGAATGTTGTATATTGATTTTCATTTTTAGCTGTTTTTGCATACACTACTAAGCCACAAACTGCTTATCAACAGTTCTAGTTGGGTTTCTACATCATGCTAAGCCATAAGCAGACAAACCACATTTCACTTTTCACCTTCGGTTGTAAGTTCTATCAAATAGCTTTTGCTGCTGGATTCGGAGATACAGTATATGCACATCCATACTAAGCAGATCATTGTCCAATCAGTTCTGACAGACTAATCACCTCATTGAAGTTTATGTATTCCTATCACCCTGTTTCCTTTTGAGGGAAGCAATATTGTGTAAAACACAAAAAAGGAAAAAGCAATAGTAAGCAAATAAAATAAAGATAAAAAGATTTTTTTAAAGGAAATGCAGCACCATATACCAACACCATCCACAATTTATCTCCATATTTCTCCGTGCTTGCATTTCCTGTATTCAGCAGGTTCTGACCAGTTCTGGACCAGTTCCAGTAGCGGAAATTTTGAGTAGTTCGGAGAACCGGCAAATACCACCTCTGACTGGAGACTTTACAGTATTCTTCTCCTACCATGCCCACCAAGCCACGCCCATAGAACCTGTAGTAAAAAAAATTGAATCCCACCACTGTTGCAAACCATCTTTGCTTCCGTAGAGAAGTTCTTGCATTGTCTTTATTTTCTAAATGTCTTGCCTCACTCTTTCAAGGATCTAAATCTAACATTGCTTTCTCAGCTTTCCTTTTCCTTTTCAGAAGTATTGTTTTTTTCATTGTGATAGATAATACAGAAATTAGAATGAACTAATCCTCAAGTTAAACCCAGCTCAAAGATGTGTGTGAAACATCCTTGTGAAAGTATTTCTTGTTTCAGTGTCTGTACTTAATATGTTTACATGTGCATGTGAATGGAAGATTCCTACTGGGAAAATGGATTTTCTAGTACCATTTTTATATCTGTCATGCAGGATATGCACTATTATGCAGAATTGCAGAAAATGGTACCACCCAACTTTGTTTCACTTCTCACTTAACGTTGAACTATTTGCTGAGTGTTCCTCTTACTTTACGACATTGTTATTTCCATCAGTGAATTTAGCATACAGCATTCAAGTCATATTTTCTATTTACAAAATATAGCACAATTCAGACCTGCTTACTTATCATGCACTTTCTCTATACAAACGTACATACAAAGTATGACTTTTTTTTTTGCAGTAAAACTTTTCCCAGTGACCCAAAGGACAGAAATTTGGTCTGTGTACTTTCCATCAAGCCAAAGTCCAAATGTTGCTCAATCTCTCATAACCTTTCATTTGGAAGCCAAACACCTTTCCAGATACATTTAACATGGTTTTGAAAGAGGGGTCAAAGAGGCTATCTATGTCAAAATTGAACAGCCCTTCTCAACAGATGGGAAGGGATACAATATCATCTATCTGCAGTCTACAACAGTCCTTTCAACAGTTCCAAGAAGGCTCCACACCCATTTGCACTATTCAGATGACCCTGAGGACACATATAAACCTCCAAGTGGTGCCTCAATGACTTTCTAAAAGAATGCAAATGACTATTTGCAAGGAATATAAATCCTTCCATTCCCCACAATCCAATGAGATCCGAAGAAGCTTGGATGAGAAGCAAAATTTCTTCAAGGAAAAACCAGAAGTCCAGTTGCCTCTTGAAAAAAACACCTTTGGGATTTTTGCATTCCTTCCTGCTACTTTTGTATAGGGAAGCAATAACAGCACTCTTTCTGTCATCAGACATTTTAATCATATAGTACTACCTTTTGCTCCTTAGGTACATTAGATGGTATCTTTCTACCATTAATCATTCTGTAATTTTTTCATTCAGACACATTTCACTTTATCAAATATCTCTTTCACGTTTACCATAAGCATAGCTCCAGAGACTGGCATTTTTCATCATTATTTTCACTCAGTTCTAAGTAGCTTCCATATCTTTCTTCCAGGTCTTGTAAGTTAGAAAGATCACTTATCTGCAAATGGCTATATGTGACTTGACTCTAAGGAACATGTTGGGAATGCTGTTACTGTACCATTTCTCACAAATACATGGGCAACATCCTTAAGCTGTTTAGTATCACTGAATGGGCAGTTATAAATTCACCTAAGCTGCTAGTTCTAGATTATTTTAACATCCCTTACTTGGGAATCAGTCTCATAATCACCATTTCAATTTTTAATTTCTTTCAGATCATGTTGGACTTGGCATTTATGTCAGAGCAGAGCATATACAATCTGATATTAGGGAATATTTACTTGTGTCCCTTGTCATGGACTGATCAGTTTTCATGATGATGGTGTTGACCATCATCCACATTTTATAAGAATGATGGGCCCACTCAGAGGTCCATTCTAGGCATCTAGTATATCATGATATTTGAAGGATTTCCGAAAACACCGGAGTATTTTTGTTGAAAACCAAGTTGGTCTGAAATATAAGCAAGTCAGGCATTACAGACTCTATACCACACCCAATCCAAGTTTAAGTGTGGATAAATTCATTATTTCACCTAATTACACATTTTACTCTTTCCTCTTGTAATCTCATAAAGCAGATATTTCTTTCACTTCCAATTTCAGTGAATCCTGGTGGGGTTACATAAATAACAAGAAACACAGACATTTGAATTCTTCCAAAATTGTTGGTCATTAATAAGAGACAGGATAATGGGCTTTAGAAAAAGATATAGCCATATTAGAAGATGATTCAAATTACATATTAAAAGTGTAATGAATCATTATACAAAAATAAATCAACTTCATTTCCTTAGAGATTGGGCTCCTCTGAACTAGGAATCAACAAAGTTCCCACAAATACTACTTTCTTAAAGACTCCTAGATGATGACAGACTTCCTGCTGTACCAGATTTTAAAGTTCAAAGTTTAAATTCATATTTATTGTTATTATGGAAATAATGTTATTCTACTCATTTTGAGGACACTAAATGATTGCTTTTTTATGTTTTCCAGGACTCTGATTTTGTTATGTTGAATTCCTTTTGGTAGCTTAAAAAAAATCTTGGGAGAATGTTTTTATTTTGAAGTGGTTTGCTAGAAATGCCATACTTCAAAACAAATGAAATCAACTAAAGTATTGGACAAGCGATTCCTTATTGTATATAGACAGCTCTCAATTTTGTATTCTAAGATTGTTTCTTGTGTGTGATGTTGCTATGGTATCAAACAAATGAGTGCGGTTTTAGAGTATTCCTAAAGGGAAGTCTGCTTCAACTGTATAATTTCTTTTTCAAGAAATTCAGCTGCATTGTCCTTTGATGCTATTTAGCAGAGGCTATAATCTGTTTGTATTGGAATTAATAGCAAGGTTTCCATTATTGGCATAGTGAGCAATAGAAGCAATTCTAATATATTGATGCATAAACCTATGGACCGCAAAATATTATAAAGATTTTTTTGTAGAATGTTTTCAGTGAAGATTTTTACTTATATCTTTCCTGTATCTCTATTAAAGCCTTCTCCTACAAATTAGCAATTTGTGTTTGGAATTGCAACAGAACTGTTGCTACATGGGGAAAAGAAGTATGGATTTATAGAACTATGGGATATAACAGAATTTTTTTTAAAAAAAACCATACAGTGGAGGAAAATGAAGAATGCCGAGCTAATCAACAAAGGCATCATTGTATCCTTGCCAAAGTACAAACAGTCCCATTTATGCAACCAAAAGTTCCAACATCAACATTGTTGTTTGTGGACCTTTGTGGATTGTTAAATATTTTATTGTCTGATAAAGCTGTTCGGTATTTCTTTGATTATAAGTACGTATTATAACGGTTCAATTATTTCATTATCCTTCTTGTAACTGAAAAATGAAACAAAACGAAAAGAAGGAGATCACTTCTACTAAGTTCTAGATGATTTACTTATTAGTGATTTGCACCACAATCAGAACCTTGTGTTAACAGAACGTACTACTAGATTGTACTATGAAATTGTCACTCACTTACTTAAGTACAGCATCCTTTTTATTTATTTATGCATTCATACTGTATTTTTAATTAATGTAGTACTTTATTTGTATTCTGATCTTTAATACTTTGTATTGAATAAACAGCTTTGCTTTTAGGAGTGAACAGCAGAACAGTAATGTAAATTTAACACCACTTTTGTTAATTTGGCTCAATTATGGTAAATATATCTATTATTTCATAATCTAATCTGTTAGATTGAATAGCATTGGGCCAGTGCATAAACATTTATAAACGCAATAGGTACATTTATATATGTCTAGAATTTAAATATTATTCTTGTAAAAAAAAAAAAAAAGCCTTAATAAATTCATCTACACAAGTATACAAAACAAATCAACTTCATTCTTTTCCATTGAGCTCATCTGAA